GTATCTACCTCCAAGGAAGACTAATACAATTACTATTAAAATTTAGATGCCAAGAAGTACACCCAAATATGAAAAAAAACAAACACCCTGAAGAACTCTGTCAATTTCTTCAATATAAACTTGATCAAGCATATAATCAATGCAAAAACTGAAAACAGAGAGAATCAGTAGGTAGAAAATATGGCCACAGTGATAGAAACAAAACTGGAGCTTGCATGACAGAATTTTGCAAGATAAATGATTTCTTTATCACAAATATCTTCTTCAACAACATAAAAAAGCTTCTATGGTGGTGGAACTCACCAAATGGAATCCAGTGGAATAGGACCGACCACTTTTGTAGGAAGAGCACGGAGCAGCACAGTATTCTCAGCCCAGACAAGGCCAGACTGTGGAACAGAGCATCAATTGTTTCTATGCAAGTTCATTAAAAACAAGTCCATGAGAACCACAATGTAACATTGAGTATAACTCACCGTACTCTGGAGAACATCTCAGGAACAGAATTGACCCACTGAGCAGTAACGATGCAAGACCTGACAAACTGTGGGATGCCATCAAGAACACCACCCATTAAAAAGACAGGAAAGAAAGAAAAAGACCAAAGTGGGTGGAAATCAGAATAATTCTGAAACTTGCTCTTGAATGTAAAGTGGCTAAATTGTACAAAAGAAACTAAAGAGCCGAAAATTACAAGAGGCAACTCAAGAAAATAAAGTTAAGCATTACAATGAAATGTGCAAGAACTTGAGTAAAAAAGATAATTAGAAGAAAACATTCAACACATCTCAAGTTAAAATTAAAACCTTAAGTTGCAATATTGTAGGATTCTATGGGCAAATGCTGAATGATGCAGGAAGAGTACAATGATGAAAAGAATACAGAGTCATTGTAGCAAAAAGAATGGGTCGATATTGGACCATTTCAAGAAGTAGCTTGCAATCAAAAACTGAAGGTACTGAAGAGAAAAGTCAAAGCTGGACTAAGGCACTGGGAGATCCCAAAGGCCCAAGAATTGATGGTAAACCAACTGAAATGTTTCAAAACATGGATGCAGCACAGGAACCTCTCAAAACTCACCACTACCAGTCTGTTCCACACCAGAGCTCCCCCTGTGCGTTTCCAAGACTGTAAACCTTTCTGGAAGCAGAAAGCCGTGTCGTCTTGCTTCCACAGATCAGCTGGCGATTTCACACTGCTTGTGTTGTGTTTAGCAGCCCAACGTCTAAGCAGCACACCACCAAGGCTCCTTGGAAACACTCACTGGTTTATGTAAAAAAAAAATTGGAAAAGTTACCTCGCCAACCAACTGGAAGAGATCTATATTTGTGTCCATTCCAAAGAAAAGTGGAAATTATCAAACAATATCATTGCTATAACATCATCTAACTGCCATCAGTCAATGTCGCCTCACAGCAGCCCTACAGGACAAGTTAGAACTGGCTCTGTGGGTTTCTGAGACTGTCACTGTTAGCGACAGTAGAAAGCCCTGCCCTTCTCCCAAGAAGTTGCTAGTGATTACAAACTGTTGACCTTGCAGATCGTAGCCCAGTACAAGAGAGTACAATTAAAAAGAAAAAAAATTTGTTGCAATACATTGATAGCTGCCAGAAATCCATTAAAGAACATGAACTGAGGGCTATCATTGCTGATATGAGATGGATCTTAAAAAGCAGAAAGATGTTTACGTGTTTTATTGATTATGTAAAGGCATCTGGATGAATCATAAAAAAATTATGAATACTTTTGCAAAGAATGGAATTCCAGAAAATTTCATTGTGGTCATGTAGAACTTGAACATAAACCAACCGGGAGTCATTTGAACTGAACTCCTCACAACTGTTTTTATGTTTGATCCCATTGCTGCAACCACTGGGTCAATTAATCTTATCGAGGGCCTTCCTCTTTTTCGCTGCCCCTCTGCTTTACCAAACATGGTGTCCTTTTCCAGGGCCTGGTCTCTTCCGATAACGTGTCCTAAGAATGGAGATGAAGCCTCACCATCCTTGCATCTAAGGAACATTCTTGCTGTATTTCTTCCAAGGCAGATTTGTTAGGTTTTTGGCAGTCCATGGTACTTTCAATTTTTGTCAGCACCATAGTTCAATTATTTCTTCCTCAGTCTTCCTTATTCATGCTCAACTTTCAGATGCATACGAAGTGACTGGAAATACCATGACTTGGATCAGGTGTACCTTAGTCCTCAAAGTAATATCCATGCTTTTCAACACTTTAGTCTTGTATAGCAGATTTAACCAGTACAATGAGTTTGATCTCTTGACTTGATCTAACAATTTTAGAGGGTCCTTTGGCATCAACTTGATCGCAGTGAGGTTGGGTGAGAAAACTCTCCGTCGAGGATAAGGTATCACCTTATACTGCCATTGATAGTAAAGTTCAAAACACTGAAAATAAATGCTAGAGAGGATGTGAAGTGATAAGGGCCTCATTCACTGCTGTTGAGACTGTCAAACTGCATAACCACTGTGGAAAGCAGCATGGTGCGTCCTCAAACAACTGGGAAAAATACCTACAACCCAACAAGCACTGCACTCATCATACATCCTACAGAAATAAGGAGCACAGTTTGTACAGATATAGCCACACCCCAAGTTCTTCATAGCCCCAACCACAGTATTAAGAGGACAGCAACAATGTAAATGGACACCAGTGGAGGAGTAGATAAACTCTGGTACATACACACATACATACTACACATTGCTAAAAACTAAGGATGGAAATGTGAAGAAGACCCATGACATGGATGGATCCGGAGGACATTATGCATTAGGTTGAGTGAAGGCAGTCATTCACTAAAGAACTAACATGGTAATAGACCGCTTTTATAAACAACAACACAATTACAATAATGCTTTTTACAGCAAAAGAAACAATTATTTGAGGGCTACCAGGGATGGGAGGGAAGTAGATAGAGGAGGAAGCAATAAGCTAGCACAGAGATTAGCAAATTTTTTAGATGGAAGAGCCAATCCTGCCCCTCACAACAATTTAAAAATTATTTATTTGAGAGTCACAAAAATACTTTTACAAACAAACAAAATCACCATCATCTGAGAAAAGATTTTCCACCAGAACCACATGTATGTACCAAAAGAACCACATATGGCTTGAGAGGCAGAGTTTGCAGAGCCCTGAACTAGAGGGTAGGCAGGTATTAACCAGGCTGAAGAGGAATACAACATCCCATAAGGAGAAAAGTTAAAAAAAGGTGGTGGTGGTAGGGGAGCCCACAGGGCAAACTTTTGAATGATTAGAAGTTGTTGAATACAGAAATGATTATTTTAAATGTCAACTTCTATTAATTTCACAATACATTTTTTTTTAAAGGAGAAAACCCCTTTTAAAGGATAATCACCATCTAACTCAAAGCTCTCTCTTTCGACTTCAATAGAGAACTACAATTCGTCCGTCATCTTATGGCAGTCAGAAGAAGGAAGCCCCACAGGCAGGCTTAGCACAGTAGCTGCTCAGGCATAATACGCTATATATAGTAGTCTTCCAGGGTCCCTTTACATATTTAATAAGCTTACAGGTAACTTTTGTTGCTGTCCTTGTTCAGTGCCATGAAGTCCATGCTGACCCACGGCCACCCAATGCACAGCAGAATGAAACCCTGCCTGGTGCTACCCCATCCTCACAACTGTTCCTGTGCCTGAGCCCCTTGTTGCAGCCACTGTGCCCACCCATTTCCTTGAGGGTCTTCCTCTTTTTCACTGCTCCTCGACTTTACCCAGCATGATGCCTTTCTCCAGGGACTGGTCTCTCCTGACAACATGTCAAAAGTATGTAAGGCAAAGTCTTGCCCATTCTTGCCTTTAAGGGTCATTCTGGCAATACCTCTTCCAAGACAGATTGTTTGTTTTTAGCAGTCCATGAACTTTCAATATTCTTCTCCAGCACTGACTCTCCAGCATAGAATTCAAATTTATTGATTCTTCTTTGGTCTTCCTTATTCAATATCCACCTTTCACACACATACAGCAATTGAAAATATCATGGCTTGGGTCAGGCACACCTTAGTCCTTAAAGTAGCATCCTTGCTAAAGAATACTGAGGGGAAAAGGTAACTTTTACATCAGTTAAAATAGACTTTTCTCTGAATTTGAGGAGTTTCATAACAATTAAAATATTTTCAGCAGAATCATAACAAATGGATCCCGAAAGTTGCTTATAATGGAAACTATAACCCTGAGAACTTAAAATGCCCCCAATGCCCATGTTCAGTTTCTCTAGCAAAATAGTATGAACTGTACATTCTACACTGACACTATGTGGAGTAGGCAGAATTCTAAGAGAGGTGGCACCAGCCCTCAGCATCAACAGGCCCAGAGGAAACCTTGAATAGATGTCCTGCTTCTCAGGAAACACTCTAGCAAAACTGTCCTCCGCTGGCCAAAATGATGGCTCTGCAGATCTCGCACATGACCTAGTGGGGCCCACTCTCCAGCATCATTCCTTCAGTGAGCTCATCACAGTGGCAAGCCCCAAACAGGACCACACAAAGAGTAGGCTTCTACTCCTAATAACACTCTCTCCCTTTCTTTACCCACTTATCACAAACTTCTACAACTTCACAGAAAGGCCCCAGTGTCTGGAGAAACCCAGACCACTGCAGAGACAGGGCAGGATGGCTCTGAGGGCCTAGGGCCTCCTCAAACAGATGGCTCCATTTGCAGGCTCTGGGCACGAGACTGTGTTATCCAACACAGAGCACTGACACTCTTGAGACAGTGAGGCCCCATGGTGTCAGCTTTGAGATTCTAGTCAGGAAAGGTGTCCCCAGGTATGCAAGGCCTGACAAAGTCCACAAGAACAGGGGAAGGTCCCAGTGAGAGTGGAGTAGGGCCTTGGGTGCCTCTAAGAATTCAGTCCCTTCCACCATCCATTCCTCCATGGAAGAAACATAGGACTGGCCCACCAAGTCATATACAACTTCACCCAACTGTATTAAGAGTGTCCTGCCTTTCTTTGGTGCTCACCATTGAAAGTTCTGTCAACACCAGTAAGTCACTGAAAGGGAATGGCCTTGGAAGCAAGTCACCAGGCAGGTATACGTGGATCACAAGCCAAGGTGACTGGCCCAGGTGGTCGCTGTCTAGACGGGATTCATTTTCTCGGGCCTGGACGAGGCGGGGACCTGCAATGAAAAGAGGAAAGAGAGTGGCTAGCTGCTGGCCCTCAGCTCCCGATCCCTGCGCAGACTTCCCACTAAGCAGGGTGCGGCAGCTGCTTGCAGAAGCTGCCTCAACCGCTGGCTGCGATCGCGCCGACGCCGACGGGCCTGTCCTGCGTGCGTCCGGACCGCAGAGAACACACGGCGCTCGGGAAATCGGTGCGCGCCTGCCCTAGGATGGTCAGCATTCTACACCGGACGACCCGGGGTTGGACATGCTGTGTCTGACACGATCCTGAAGAAACGTCTGTCTCAAAGCCAACGCAGCTCCCGCAGTGCGCTTCCTGCGAAATCTGTCCTCGTGACAGTGAGCCAAGTGCGCGTCTGAAGTCCCGACCCACCTCCTACCGTGACTGCTATGGCTGCACGCGTCTTAAAGGCGTCCTTTGCGGC